AATTCTAACCATAACACAACCCTAACCAAATTTGACCTTAAGCTAACCATAAACCAAAGAATGGAAGTTCCCATAAAGTGACTGTAAAAACGGATTTACGTCTCCACAACATTAGTAATACCTGAACGACACATACAAGCACAAACATGCACATACACATCTTCTCCCTGTTTCATAGTTTACTGAATTCTCTGTATCATTCACATGCAGAATAATCCACAGAGGGTTAAAAAAAAAATGGAATTTCTTCATGTCGGTTTGTCCAAATTCAGTGCAGGAGGTCTTTTTCTTATCTTTGAGGATTTGACTCATAGAAAAACTGGTTTTCAGTCGGCTCCAGGAACCAATGAGATGACAGATCCAGTGCTTCGACAGCCATCTGTGTGTCAGTGTATCAAAGCTTGTTCAGAGTAGAGTCACAGTTTACACGCTCATTTTCCATTCAGGCAATTGAAGCCTCCCTCTAGTCACTCAACAGTTGCTCAATATGAATTTTTCTGCTTTTTAAGGACGACGATAGCGAGTGAACCGCTCAAGATGAAGGTTTGAGTCGCTTATTCTGGTTCCACGTCAACTGCACACATACAGAGAATGTTACAGATAGGCTGCATTTTTGAAGCTGTGCCATTGATAACATGGAGGGATTTGTTTCCTCAAGAAAGCATGGGGATCAAGTTCACTTGGTGTGAACTGGATTGGACCTCCGCCATTGATGTTATGTTTTCATCTGTGATTTATTTGTTTGTCTGTTATTAAGCAGGATTATGCAAAAAAAAAAAAAAAAAAAAAAACCTCCTGGACAGATTAGCATGGAACTTGGGGAGGGGTGTGGTTTGGGACAGGAGAGAACACATTACATTTTGCAGCAGTTCCAGGAATGTTTTCACATTTTTTTCAACATCGTGATCTAGTGCTCTTTTTTTTTACATTTTCATTGATTTCTCACATAATAATTCCTGGTTCTTGATGAAAAAACGTACTGATATTTATGAGTGTGTGCAATTTGTTGCAGATCCAAATAAAAATCGTGTTCTTGTGGTTTCATATGGGGACTGTTGTTGGGCCTGGGCGGAGGTATGTGCTCTTCTGAGTGCCATTTAGCATAGTTTTAAGTTTTCTAAGCTTTAGTTTGGGAAATGAGTGAAAATGAAGCAATGGTCTTTACTGTCACTCTCTCTGGGATAGTAAGGAGAACCCTGTGCAGCCTGAATTAGGACAGGGGTTTGGATTAGTTTGTTTTTAACTGTTGTGTAATGTTAGCTGGAACCCACTCTCCTGTTTTCAGACCCAGACATTCTCCACTCATAAATATGCCATCTTCCTGCACAGTGGGCGAAAAAGAAAACCAGCACAGTTGTTCCCTGCATCTCTGCCAACGCTGTGTAAAAGGGGGCTGAAGGGAGAAAACATTTTTTTTAACCTAATGATGAACTGTGTGTTGTTCGGCAGCTGAGAAAATTAGACTCAAAACACAACGTGGATTAATTTCTTTAATTGACTGACTGAATGACTGACTGACTGATGTGTTGGCAGTGTATATGTGAGTGTGAGAACAGCTTTGGAGATGCAGCCAAGGTCTTCTCTCCCTCTTTTGGAACAGAATGGCAATAAAGATAAAGGAGAACAACAGTTGATGATCTCTGAAGGGCGAGTCGAGGTAAAAGTCAAAGTTTGTGTGTGAGAGACAGAGAGTGGAGAAAATACCAGCAGCGCCTTCCAGAGTGCTGTGATCCGACCAGAAACGAAGGTCTGACAAACACAGGGTTGAGTCATCAGCTCTTTGACAACTGAACATTATATACTTCACAAATGCAGCGTTTACAGGAGGGCGGTCGTATTTAATTGCGTCATATTGCACCATTATTCTGCTCATCTTGGTCTTCTGAGAAGATGTGAAGACGAGAGAGTTGTCCAGCTGAGATAAAAACCTCCTGTGTGGAGTCGGAAGGCTTTTCCTTTCAAGCAGCATCACTCTGTTTCCCGAAAGCTAAGCCAAACGCTCCTCATATAGTTTGAGTTATGGAAGGAGGAACACATTAGGCATCAGTAAACCTCAGTGAGGATGGTGCACTTCTGGCAGGTCACTGGCGTTTGATTGTGTGTCATGGCTTTTTATAGATGGTAACTTTCACTGCTGATATCAACTATAGCCCGATTTTGGCTGATCGGACGATGTGAGCCTTTCACACGTGTCGTTCGTGGCGTTTATGTTAAGTGATATGCAATTTTATTTTACTGAATAAACTATGCAGAAAAGAATTGCATTTATGTTTA